ATACCCACACAGGTTCTGTACCAAGTTGTTCGTATGTCTAACATGAATGAAATGGCACTGTTTCAAGGATGACGTGTTACGTACTCGAGTTAAAACAACTGGAATTGTCGAGACTCACTTCACGTACAAGGATTTGCATTTCAAGTAAGAACAGACTTCGTCTTCCACTTTTTTTTTACCTTCAATTAACTTTTTGCTGCCTGCTAGCTTACGGCGACTATTGATCGCGTATTCGAGACTTCGTTATTTGTATCTGTGCTCACTTTTTTGAACTCCAGAATGTTTGACGTTGGTGGACAGCGGAGCGAGCGGAAAAAATGGATTCACTGCTTTGAAGGTGTCACAGCCATAATTTTCTGTGTTGCAATGAGTGAATACGATATGGTCTTGGCTGAAGATGACGAGATGGTTAGTCGAATTTCGTTATGCTTGCATTTGGCTTTCACCTTTCACTTCTGAAATATGCATATATATGTTTCTATGTATCCGGTTTTAGAATCGCATGATAGAATCTATGAAGTTGTTCGATTCAATCTGCAACAACAAATGGTTTACGGAAACTTCCATTATTCTTTTCTTGAATAAGAAAGATCTTTTCGAAGAGAAAATCAAGCGATCTCCACTGACGCGCTGTTTTCCTGAGTACACAGGTTAGTCAAGTTTTTAGAATTAGCTTTCATTACTCTTTTCTCATTCAGTCACATTCGCTGTAATGTCGTAAGAGCGCTACATTGGCACTCTGTCAGGTAGTATTTCCGTAGGTTTCCGTAAGGAAAAGAAACTTTCTTGGTCTTTTTTTGTGTCTTGATATCTCACGATAATGTTGGCTCATAGCCGATTTTTCATATAGTTGTTTGTAAAGTGGCAATAGTTTCTTCATTTTTTGAAACAAATCACTAATAATCCAAGAGCCATCAAATAGGGCTTCCGGTGGCGAGCGTTTACTTAGCAAAACTTGCAAAGAAACGTTTCACTCAACGTAAGTTGAGGATTTTCATCCTGACGATGTAGGATAAGAGAGCAAAGCCGTATAGCTTGGTGAAATCTCCAACTCAGTCTTCCCTTGTTGTCTGCTTTTGCCGAAGCCGACTCCCGGGCTCTGGAGACTGCTCAAGCCACTTCATTGCATGACTTGAGTACAGTACGTATCTGTTTCCCTAGAGATCCCTTCTATGGCCTATTTTAGAGATTGATTTCTTGCCTTTTTTCCTTTAAGGAACAAAATGCGTCCATGTTCGAGTCTGGGAATTATAACGTTGACGACTAGTTTCGCTTTTTACTGAACATGGTTGCATCAAAAGGCGGATCCCTTCTAAAATTTGAAGCTTGTTCGGCGGATTGCACGTACCCTTGGTTTATTTATCTCCTACAATGCAGAACTGAATAAGTTCCTCTTGTTTCAGGTTCAAATTCTTATGAAGAAGCAGCCGCTTACATGCAGTTGCAGGTTCGAGAATATGAATAAGCGAAGAGACGGTCAAAAGGAGATTTAACACACATTTCACGTGCGCTACGGACACCAATAACATTCGATTTGTGTTCGATGCCGTCACGGATATTATTATTCGTGAGAATCTACGCCAATGCGGTCTCTTCTGAGTGGATTGATCTGAAGTTTGGCGGCATGATTACGCTCAAATTCAGTGATTTTTTATGATAATCAATTCCGTTCTACTCCACTGCTTATCATCACAACACGGTCTAAATGGTAATGTTTGGAGTTGACTGAAATGGCTTTGTTTTTATTGCGTTCATATGTCGTTTTAATGTGCATGCTTGATGTGAAAAAAACTGGAAGTGCCCTTCTGAATAGTCTCTGAAACTTCTTCCTTCATGATGTATTGAGGTGGGAACTGTGAAAAGGACACCTCAAGAGTTTGTCATGATAAGGTTCAAGCAAGGTACTTGTTGGCTTTCGGAAAGAGAAGTAGATAGCTGAACTGCCTTTGTGTGCGCTAGCTCTTCAAAAATACATTTGTTTAAGACTTTCTTCTTGATTTCGTTCTCTTTCCTACACACAAACAAGTTTCTTGATGCCACCCATAGTCAGCTGCAACATTTGCCCAAACTATTTATAGCGGCAGCATCTGTGCTGTGTCCATTTCGGTCTGGAGTTTTTTTTTGTAGAAAGTTAAGCGGTTATATGGGGTATTTCTTGATGAAAATTCATTTTCAATCTACATGGGAAGGATATTTCCTGGGATCTTTCTTTTGAGTATTCACAGGTGCTGCTTCAAAGTTTGGTTTAGCTGTTTGTTACTTTATCATAGCTTGAATTGCCTTTCCTTTTTTCGAAGGATAGTCTTATACGCTTGCAGTTTTGACATTTCATATCAGTTTTTATGTTTCAGTTTTTCACTTGAATTTCTTGTTATTTGCCTTACGTTTTGAGTTTTTGTGGAGTTATCGCTTACATTTTGTAATAAGTCTATTGTGCTACTAAGCGCTTCAGTAATGCATTTCAAAGTGTTTAATTTATTGATTGTATCTACTAATTAATCGCAAATTCATAATCATTTTCATGGTAGGCGCATAATTTTCTGACTCCTCAACACTTGATTTGCATGCTTGTCTCGGTTGAAGAATCAGCTGAATTCGAACTTTTCAAATAGTTTTTTTTTCGGAGGTTTTTGTAAATTCGTGGTGGCATGTATTTTGAATTTTTTTAAGGTTCTTATACAATGTGCTTTTTGAGTTTTCAAGCTTTTTCGAGTTTATTTTATGATTCTTTTCTGAGATGCGCAAAATCCTCTTCGTAATTTACGGTTTCATACATGCCTACGTATGTTACGTGTTGCATCTTTAATGAAGCTTATTATTTAAAAATTTTGTTCCACTGAAAAACACTTTTCTAGTTGTGAAGCTCATTTGAGCGTATTCATTGGGAAATGTGACGTTTCTCAGGGGTCTCGGATGATACTCCATGTAAGTGAAAAGCGATATCAGTTACTCGATGTTGGGGAATTCCTAATTGCTTCCCTTCTTCATGAGATTGCGATCATACACAACATTTTAGGAAATTCGATGGAAAAGGAATGTGCGCGTACCGACAGGGGAATCGAGGATTTCTCTGAAATTTGGTAAGGGTTAAGTTGACCGACTCTAGCGTTTTACGTCGACTCTGATTAGTCGAATCGTTAAATCTCAAGACTGCCTAAACAAACTTTGCGGGTGGGGGGGGCGTGGTTTTTTTTCAAAATGGTTTTCTGTAATAATGTAGAGGCTCATGTGAAGAACACAGAACCATGGTCCATTTTTTCCTGAACGCCACCAGGAATGTCAAAACAGCGGAGAAGAAATGGTCCAGACCCGACCCTCCGTGATGAAATTTTTTGCAATTTGTGTCGGCGCCTCCATTGCCACAAAACACGACAATCTATTCTCTTACGCCATTGACGCCATTTGGCGGCAATCGGGGGCGCCGAACTATATTGCAAAAATTAGTCATCACCGGGGGATCGAAACTCTGGGACCATTTCTTCACAACTTTTTTGACATTCCTGGAGGCGTTCAAGAAAAATGGATCATGGTTCCGTGTTCCTCGCAAGAGCCAGATAAAACATGCAGAAAACCGTTTCAAAAAAGCGCTCAGTGTCTTCAAAGATCTCCCTCGTTGGAAGCTGTTGCGTTTGAATGTGACATGAGGTAAGAATTGTCCACTGTCTTGTAATTGGAACTCACCAATTACAGAAGCCAAAGGGCCAGTCACATTGATCGGTAACGGGGTGGGGTACGTGGGATAATGGAGAAGAGTTTCGGGCAATCGGAGAGGGTAGGAGGACGAGGGCCAATTACGAAAGAGGTGAAGGGACTTTATGCTCATGGGACGCTTCAGCAAAGTTTGTTTGTGTCAGTGTCTCGCTGCGTTGATTGAAGTCCCAATGGGAAAAATGCTCCTGAAATCTACTTCCATGAGCAAGTGCAAGTTCGTATAACTTCCATTCAACGGGTCTTCAGAACACGACAGTGGTCGATGCCGGGCGACGCTCATAAGCAGTTTCTGAATTTGTACTTTGTACCATGGTTTCCGTGGCTAATCTTGTGCGTGGTTGCCTGTTTTCGAAGGCCACAACTTGAGTCCGCCTCAAACAGATTGCAAAGGTGCGTGTTCAATTCTTCTAGTCAGCATTGCCGACTCGGTTAGCATAACTATGACTTGGCGGCTAATGCCAGTTCCCAAGAGTGAAATGGGAAAATTTCTTTTTTTCAACGGCCACTCTAAAAGACAGGTCGTCACGTCGCAGTTGTGTCCTATGTATGCGGTGTCCGTCACAGTTTTTCCTATGTTCGTATCTTCACAAAGCTTACAGTTATGCTGGACTCTTACTATCCATCAAATGGGTCACTAATTACCCTTCCCCATTCCCTTTCCTTACTTGTTATGGGTAAAAATGGTGGCCCTCGAGTCGCACCCGTGTGGCTCGTCATTGCAAAAATGTGGGCGCGTTTGTACTGAAATGTCGACGCAGAGTGCGGCAGCAGCACTTCATACACATTAACCAAGAATCAGAAGGGGGGGGGGGGTAGAGCTAGGCGACGGTGCGTCCTATGGAGTGAAGTTCATGATGACAAGGCAATGAAACTTGCTAGCCTCTCTTGGAAGCTATAAGCTTGATGGTGGGTGCAAGTTGATTTTATTTCTCCAAATTTAAATTTCTCGACATCCCGGTGGTAATACTTTGGAAGTAACAGAAAAGCCAGATCCAGATTTCTCTAGAAATAATGGCAAAGGTAGTAAAGCTTGAACTGTGAGTTCGGATTTGTTTGTGAGTTCAGTTTCGCTGTTTCTTTCGGACTTCTGTGTTCGAATGACAAGAAATGCCAGAAATCGAGTATCCATGAAAGAGATGGTCGGGTAGGTGAGAGGGTAGAGGAGTGCACAAGTGGACGGTAGGAGCTTACGCGGCAAATGGCGCACTATTACCGACGTGATAAGGTATCAAAGGCACCTCAAAGGCCTCCTCAGTTCTCAGACTCGCCCACATGCCGTCACTTGAAATGGATGATAACGGCAATGTCTTTGAAATAAAACCATTACCAGTTGTAAGTTTGATAAGTTTCTTGTGCCTTACGAGGTTGTTCGGTGGAACATTTATTATGGCCTAACGTTTCGACTGAATCGTCGTCTTCAGAGGCCGTCGGTTCCACCCTTTGAGCGGAAAGGTCCGCTGCCACACAGAGCGCTAGTCAGTTGAAACTCCATTAAGACCATTACCATTATCGTTCCATATTTTAAAGGCCCTATTGCACCGGCATCGAAGCAGTAAGTGCTCATCGATCGCCGTTGGCATGATGACAGTGTTCAACATCGCCCAAACGACCTCGTAATCGTCCAAGGCTAAAATCAACCCGAAAACGAGAGTAC